AGACTGGGACTGTCAACAGAGCCGAAATTCCGTGTAGTAGTAGTTGCGCGGTCTTGCGATAGATGGCGTTGTAGAGCGTTCGGTAAAACAGGTACTAAACATGATACCGTTGGGTTCGAACACGGCCTTGAGGCCCTATATAAGAATAAATTGTTACATATAGTACCGAAATGCCGGAATTTATACGATTTTCATTCAAGAAACGCCGTTTTCTTATGTGGAAATTATTCGTACGCGCTCAAGATGAGTAGCTGGAAAAATATCGCATACGAACATTTTACATACAGTTATACATGCAATACGGTACATTCAAGAAGGAGAAGTAACGTGTTTTTTGTAACATTGTTATCATCGTTATTTTATTATAATAAAATTATATTAAAATAAATTTTATTACGACATTACAATGATTGTAACAATAAAGTTAGGCTTGACAAATATATTTATCATTGCTATTGTGCGTTACTTCTCATACAATGGTACGGTCAACACGATGCTGCAAACGCTTTGAAGCGTTTTTAAATAATTGGTCAGTTTGTAAAATTCTTTCGTTTAATTGGTCCATCAAACGCTTCAAAGCATTTGTAGCGAGACTTTGAGCATAGCCAATGTAACATACTACATTACTTACGTAACGAGTAAAAAGAAACTTATAGTAACGAGTAATATTTTACAATATATATAACGAATAATAGGCTGCTTCCTTTATAGGAGACACAAATATCGTTTTGTCTTTGTTATGCATTGAATGTCAAGAAGGAACGATATTTGTGTCAATTGTATCTCCTAAGCTACGGTCTACTATTCTACTTGATGTACGAATGTAATGACAAATATACTTCTCAAGCCTAACGTTATTATTACAATCATGGAAATTGTAATGTCATAATAAAATGTTTATTATAATAAAATAACAATAATGATAACAGTGTTACAAAAAACACGTTACTTCCCCTTCTTGAATGTACCGTATTGCATATATAACTGTATGTAAACTTTTCGTATGCGATATTTTTCCAGTTACTCATTGTGAGCTCGTACGAATAATTTCCACATAAGAAAAACTTTATAAATGCATTTTATAAGTTGTGTCATTTTACGTCTTATTTATATGCATTGTTTGTAAATTTTTCATGAGCCGTATATACCTCTCCTCCCCCAATGAATAGACATATATCCCGCCCCTATGAGATATACGGCAAAAATGCAAGGGTAAAAAGTTCATACGAAAAATAAATTTTTTCGGATTTCTAATTTTTTTTATAGT